TTAGTAATAAAAAGTACTTCACCGGCCTCGAAACAACGTTGCCTCGAATCACCACGGCAGAGTTGTTCAGCACCTTCAGCGATGAGGATTGGGCAAAACCCTCAAGATGTATCAGCGTACCGTTACTGCCGTCCATATGAAACACGTTGCCCAACACCGCAAACACGGAGTGCCACGACACCCTCAGCGCAGATCCGACAACGTAAATGGCGCTTGAAGATGCCCTCACGGTCTGAAACACATTGCCACTCAGCACCACCGCGGAGTCGTTGGTGATCGCCAGCTCATTCATTGCAACACACGACGGCTTCCTAAGGCCCAAACCCGACCGAGGGATCAGCCTCGTGACCGTGAAGCGGTTCCCGCTGATCGTGATGTTCGTGTGCGGTGGAAACACACCCTCCGGTCTGAGCAGCGCGTCACGGAAAGTGTTGCCGGTGACGACGATGTTCAGCAACCCCACAGCGGCGTAAGCGTTGCCCAAAAGCACCAGCACGGCACCGTCCCTCCACGTGCATTCATCTAACGTGACATTCACCACGTCGCCCGTCATCGCCCCAATCAGCACCGTCAGGCTCATGCCGCCCCCGCTGAACGTCACGTTGCGGTAGCACAGCCACGACAGCCCGCCACCCACTGCATGCGCAATCGCGGGGTACTCCATGTCGCTGATGCACTCACCAACCAGCGGCACTGGCGGAGGCGGTGTTGGTGGCAGTGGCGGCGGCGGTGGCGGCGGGCCAGCAGGCACAGGCGCCGGGACGCACACATCGCCGTGCCCTCCAGCAGCGCACTGGCACTCGCAGTCGCTGACCGCCGTCGTCAGCGGTGCAAAGCAGTCGCCGTCCTTCGTGCACTCCCCGCACACGGCAACCGCCGTCACGTTGGTGATGCCGTGCAACTCCAGTTCAGCTGCCGTCGTCACTTCCCGTCCCGCGACCGTCAGACACCCAGCAACGAACCGGTAGCCGGCGTCAACCCGCGATAGCAGGGAGACCGACAACCCCGTCGAGCCCATCTTGCAGCCCGTCAGCGTCACCACACCGCTGCTGTCAATGCTCACAAAAGCGGACCCAGTGTCGTCGAAAAACGCACCCACTCCCACGTCGTTGTCGCGCCAATCCAACCAGCTTGACTGCTGGACGGTCCACAATTCGTCTGCAACAATGGCGTTGGACACGGTGCCGCTGTTCCCCACCACGCGCAACACGCTGTGATCCAACACGCTGAATCGGGAGTGCTGATACAAAAGGCTTGTCCCGGAGGCCATTGTGTTGTTGAGCAGCGCAAAAACAGAGTGATCGCGGACACTGAGGGTATTCACGCGGAACAGGTATGTGTAGCCATCGAAGCTGCAGTAACGCGTGTAAAGAGAGCTGCCACGCACCAGCGTCAGCGTCCCAATCGAGTAAAAACCAAACCCGCCACACCTCAATGCATGCGCATTGGCGTTGCTGACCAACAGCGTCGACGCAGTCAACTCAACTTCGTGCAGCATCACAACGCTCAGCTTGTTGTTCACTGTGCCCGGCAAATGAACCGCGGAGGACTGCACCGCGTCAACCTCCGTGACGGCGATGTCGCAGTGTTGCGGGAGGGCACGTATAAAAGCAACGGTGGAGGACCGCATCACCGTCTGGCTCACGCGGATCAGGACGCCGGCTGACTCGGCCGCCTCAGCATCCCCAAAAAACTGCAGCGCGGCACCCTCACGGAATGTGCACCCATTGAGCGTGATGTTGATGGGGAGATGCAGCGGCATACTGTCGAAGGAAAATGTCAGCACAGCACCCACGCCGCTGAATGTCACACCCACGTAGCAGTGGTGCGTCTTCCACATGTTCAGCGTGATTTCCCTCATCGTCTGGTTCACCACGCAGCTCGTGTCGCCGTCAACGGCTCTCTCCGGCAAGGGTGGCAAAAAAGTGTCGGGCACCTCGAATGGAAGACACGACGCGCCATGCCATCCGTCCTTGCAGCTGCACGAACACGAGCCGCGGTCCACCGACTCCGTCCCGGGCATGTAGCACGCCGCGTCATCGTTGCATGTGCCACACCCGAACACCTCCACGCCCTCCGGAAACAAACCGTCGTACAACACCTCCTCATCGCCCTGCAGGTTGCACCCAACCACAAGCTTCGCGGGTGAAACCACAATCAGGTTCGACTGATCCAGATCAGCAAAAGGATAACTATCGTCCACCTGACGGTTGTGTGCAAGCACCACGGTAGTGCCGTCGCCCGACAGCTGAATGTTGTGCTGGGCATGTCCTATACTTAATACTGAGGCTGCATCCACGTTGTTGCCCTCCACACGCCACTGCGCACCACCCTGGAGAGCCACAGAGCCGGCCAAATACAACAGCGCGGAATCCAAAAACTCCGCGCTGCCAACAAGGGTGCAATCCGCCACCCTCAACAGCCCCGCGGAGCTCACGGTGGTATCCTCATAAATATAAATGCCGCTGACTGCGCTCATCGTGTTGTTCTCCACGCCAAGGTAGCCGCCGTTCTTCACATCAACAGCGTAAACGCAAACACATGATTCCATCCCGTCGTCCTCCTCCGTTGTGCTCAGCGTACTTCCCTTCACAATGATCCCGCCACCATCAACAACACCAATGGAGAAATAGACTGCGTAACTATTCCCCTCAATGTGGTTGTCAAGCAGCAGCAGGGTCGAGTTCGCATCAAAAGAAAAATCCGAAAAGGCAATGGCACGGCTCACCGTCGACAAGAGCGTACTGCCTGCTACCAGTATCTGGGAGCTCGCACCAAAATCACCCTCAAACTCCAAAGCACCGGGATCCAGAATCAAAGAAGTCACGTTCACGTGCACGCGCGCACCACTCCCCTTGATCGACAGGCCCACGAGGACGCACTGCAGCAGCGTGATGTTGAGTGTCTGTTGTGGCGCGTTGAAGGTCCACAGGTCCAACTCGATATCAGCGATGAAGGTCACGTTGACAAAGCACAGACCACGCACACCGGGATCAGGATCGTCCACGGAGCTGATGCTGCCACCGTGCACGCAGCGAACCTCCGCGTCGTCCGCATCGGGGAGCGGGAGCGGCCCAAGGCCGTCCGGAACCGCAGCCGGCAGACACGTGCCACCGTAGCCGCTAGCTGCGCACACACACACACAGCCGCTGATGCTGCTCGTCCTCGCTGCGAAGCACACGGCGTCCACGGTGCACGCACCACAGTCCAGCACCGTCACGGGCGTCCCAATATTAAGCTCTTCTTTGTAATTCGTCACAAGTGAGCCTCTTAGCTCGTTGCACATGCCGTAGATGATCGGGCGCAAGTCGGACGGTGGTGACCAATCGTTTGTCATACTTACAATGGTTGACGAGTACGAGCCGTACGTGAAGTTGTTGTCAAGTATCGACCAAACACTCCGATCGCGGAACGCTACGCCGTTCTCACTTTCCACGTACACAACGTAGGCGGTGCGGAACTCGTTGTCGCGGTGCACCAGCCAACTACCGTCAGTCACAGTCAGCCTGTTTGCAATGAGCATGGCGAAGCCAAGACGGAAAGTGCTGGACACAATCTGCAGCACGCTGCCGCCATCCACCGCAACGTCCCTAAACATACACGCGCCGTCGTCGTATTCGATGCTCGACGCACTCCAAGAGCTGTTCTGTACGGAAAACACGGAGCCGCTGCTGACACGCAGGTCCGACGCAAGAGCGTACATCACGTGCACCCGCGACCTGACAACGCAGTTGTCCATGTAGAATACGCTGGACAGGTTGGCGCAAAGGCCGCGCTCCACAAGGATCGCAGCGCACGAGCTCCCGCCACACACCAGCGTCGACCGCGTCATGACAAACCGCGTCGACAGAAGCCGGACGCCGTCCAGAACTAGTGCGGGGCCGTACCAGGATTCCTCGTGGCCAGGGGTCGTCGGCACGTACTGCGACCCGCCAACCGTCGCACGCAGCGTTGAGTTCGCCATCAGCACACTAGAGTGCAGCGGCATCGCGCCATGCAGCACGATCGTGCCCTCCAGCGACGTCACATTCGTCATGTTGACAAGGGCGTGGGGCATCAGGCGCGCCGTGCTCTCGCTGAGGCCACCAATCCGCAGCTGCGCACCGCCCGCAAGCACGCAGTGGCGCAGCGTCACGTTCAGCGCGTCAGCGAACGCGTCCATCCAGAAGAGGTCCACCGCCACAGTGATCGGCCCACTGAACACCACCGAGTCGAAGCACGCCGTCGCCCGCCCACCGCCAACCGTCACCGACTCCGTCAGCGTCACGCCACCCACGCAGCCCTGCGCACCGCCACCACCCGCGCCGGCCCTCGCAACCGGCACG